AGTGGAGCTGGGCATCCAGGGCTCCTCCCAGCAATAATTATGTAAATATTACAGGTGCAATAGCAGTGATGCATTCAGGGTTGCACTGGGGTGTTTTAAGCTGTGACACGGGGTTGCAGCTCTCCTTTAGAGCGTGGGTGGCTCTTCTCTTGCAGATCCTCAACTGTGTGAACCCAGACAACGAGAACAGCCCGGAGATCCCCGTGAAGGTGCTGAACTGCGACACCATCACCCAAGTCAAGGAGAAGATCCTGGATGCCGTGTACAAAAACGTCCCCTACTCCCAGAGGCCGAGAGCTGTTGACATGGATTTGGGTAGGAGCTGCCCTGCCCGGTGGGTGGGAGGGGGTGATCAGAGGGGCTGGGGCCGTTCCTGGTGGGGTCTGCAGAGCTTGGCCCCCTCTGAGCGTGGCTTTTTCCTGTCCCCAGAGTGGCGGCAGGGCCGGATCGCCCGCGTGGTGCTGCAGGATGAGGACATCACCACCAAGATCGAGGGGGACTGGAAGCGCCTCAACACCCTGGTGCACTACCAGGTGAGGGAGCAGCCCCGCTGAGAGCTCCCAGCAGGGAAAAGAGCAGCAGGAACCTCATTCCCAGGTGCCTGCTCTGCCCAGGCAGACAGGCAGGTCACGTTTGGGTGATAAACCAGAAGGCTTCCATGTGCTGTAGCATTAGGGGGGAAAGCAACCTTGACACGGAGCTCAAAGGAGGCAGCAGGGGTGAAAATCGGGTAAATTAAACCTGCCGGCCATGGGAGAGAGGCAGAGGGAGCAGTGCAAGGGCTGAGCTGACACTGCTGGGGATGAGGGGCCTGGGGAGGGCAACATGGGGGGCTCAGGACTTTGTCTGGGCTCTGGGACAGCCTGGAGGGAAGCAGGGGAGGCACAGTCACAGGAAAGTGGAGCCAGGTGGTGAAATGCTCAGACAGGGTGGCTGAGAAGGCCTAAGAAATCCTTGTCATCTTCGGGATAGGGCAGAGGTTGTTGGACAGGGCTCCTCACGGTGTGAAAGGTGGGAAGAGAGGGAGCTGAGGAAGGTTGGGTTAGAGGCAATCAAAGGAAAAGATGGGAGGAGAGGCAAGGAGGGGGCTGAGGAAGGTTTGGCTGCAGGGAGTCAAAGCTTTCCCTCCCAGCCTGTCTGCAACACGGGATAAGTGCATTAATTGGGACTGTAACCCACTCCTGTCCATCACCACCTCCCCAGAAGTGTTTAGTATTTAATCTGGCATCTCTCCCTGTTTATCCAGCATCTCCAGTCCATCAGCCTGACTCACGCTGGGGGACTTGAACGGGAGCCAGTATTGACAGGAGCCCTGCAACCAGGGAGCCAGGCAGGAGAGTGCCATCAATATGCACAGTGCATGTTAAAAAGCACCTCCAGGGTCAACTTTTCTGAGCAGCCCGCAGGATTTAAACACAGATTTCCGTAAAATGTCAGAGGAGTTGCGCAGATTAATTCCATTGTTCCTAAAAATCTGTTTTACCTGACAGTTGCAAGGGATTAACCAACATGCAGGGAAGCAGCGAGACTTTATTATGCCTTGATCTTTAAAAGTCATCGTGAGGAAGTCACAAGTGAAAGCTGTGCTTGTCTGATGTGTGCTGGGTGCTGGGGGAGGGAGCACTTTTGTTCCAGTGCCTGTGGGAAAGCCTGAGCCAAAAGCTTCCCCTCAAAATAAACAAAATCCTCGCAGCACTCGAGATGCTGCAGCTCTTGCTGCCATTGGAATGTCAGGTTTGCTCTGGAAGAAAGGAGAAGTTGGCAGGCAAACATCCAGCCAGGTAGGGACACGAGGCTCTGCTCAGCCCAGCGGAGCTGTCTCCATCACTAAAGAGAAGCCAAATTCTCTTCACTGCAGCAGAAATGCTGTCAAGGTGAGGCTTTTGCCAAAAAATAACAGCAATACATATATATAAACTAATAGCAATACATACATACATACATACATACATACATACATACATATATATATATATTGCTGTTCTTTTAGTTTATATATATATAAACTAAATATCTTATATATATAAACTAAATATTATATATATATAAACTAGATATTTATATATATAAACTAAATATATATATTTATATATATATGTATTGCTGTTAGTTTATATACATATATATATGTATGCATTGCTGTTAGTTAGTTTGGGTTTTTTTAATTCTCACCGATTTGGGTTTTTTTTCTGTTGGAGTAGAAGTTTTCATTAGGTATCCAAAACCAGATGTTCCAGGATTACGCAGTGAAACTCATACTGGGTAAAGGCCTGGCTGCAGGAGGGTATAAAACCACTGGAGTTCCACGTGCTCTCACCGCTGAACAGCAGGGTGACACGTGAACTGGTGTGGCTCAAACCATTCACAGAAACGTGGATTTCCAGAGGAGCAGGAAAGGTGATTTCTAGATTTTTGGGAAAGAAATGCAAGCTGCTGTGCAAAGCTGTGCCCGCCCTTTGCTCGGAGCTGTTTTCTCTTTATTCTGCCCTGGAGGCAGGGAGATCCCTGGGCTTGTGCTGGGGATGCTCAGCCCGGCTCCATCCCGCAGCTCCAGGTGTGTCCCTGGGACAGGTGCTGCACCTGGCAGGCTGCAGGGCCCTCCTGCTGCTCATTCCCTGATCCCTGGGATCCATTCCTGCAGCTCCAGGGCTCCAAACCACCCTCCTCCTCCTCCTCCTCCTCCTCCTCGCTGTGCCCCACACCTGGATGCTGGATTTTGCTGCTTTTGTTTTCTGCATTAGAATCACAAAGATACAATAACTGATCGAATGCATTTTTCATGGGAAGCCTTCACATACAAAACCCAAATTGGAATTAAAGAGAAATGTTCACCTTCCTAATAGTTTTGAACCACTTTATGAAATTATAGAGAGCACTGTGCGCCTCCTGCTTATTTCTTCATTTATAAAAATAGATGTGTAGCTTAAATAAGTGTAATTCTTTGTTAAATTCTCCGGAGCTGTTATACGTGGCAGGGAATTGTATTACATTTGTGTCGTATCCTTTTGGTTTCATGGCTATTAAACTCCATGGGAGAGTCTTACCCCGTGTGGTTTCACTCAGGAAAAATGAAACACTGAATTTAATATCGAATGATTTACAGTGGCTCACGCAGGGTTAACTCAGAGGCAACAGAGCATGAATACCTGTCAGCCTCTGCAAGTCTGGAGAGGCCAGGAGACCAGGAAATGGCTTTAAATGAAAAATTAGGAGGAGAAGGGGGAGGTTTGGGTGGAAAATGAGGCTTAGGAAGTGAAGGTGGTGTGGATGTGGCGCTGGAATCGCCATCGCGGCCTCGCTGCCCCACGCAGACACAGCTCCATGCCTGGGCTGCCTCCTTCCCCCCCCAGGTCTCCTTTCCCCTGTCTTTATGGTGCTCTGTGTTTCCAGCTTGTGGAATAATCAGAATATTTATAAAGTTGTAAAGCGGGCGAGCGGCTGGGAGCGTGTCCCGGGGGAGCTGCGGGCTCCACCTGAGGCTGCTGGGGCTGAGCTGACAGCAGCCGTTCCACCCAAAATTTACTGGGTGAGAGGGCTCGTGTGTGTGTGTGTGTGTGTGTGCATGTGTTTGTGTGTGTGTGTGTGTGTGGAGGTTTTAGTGCCTCTCTCCCACCTAAGCACAGCCCTGGTGGAAACGGATCCGGCGCAGGAGCACCCTGGGCTCGAGTTTCTCCCTGGCGAGATGGAGCTGAAGTGGCAGCTAAGAACAGCCTAAGAAAATAATATCAGCACTGATCACTTCTTCCACTGACTTAATAAATTGGATGAAGTGAGGCAGGAGCAGCAAAGGAAATTATGGAGGTGTTTGGAGTGTTTTGTGTAGAAAAATCTCACTTTTGTGCCACGAAACACAAGTAACTATTATTTCCACTATCACCAGCAACAATAATAACTCGGATTTCAGTGAAACCTTTCATCTGGATGGGGCTGCAGATAGTGTTCAGAGCTCTGGAGCTGCTGGGGGAGCAAAAAGCTCCTTTCATAGGGTCAGTGCTGAGTCCATCACCAGACTCCCAGCAGATAATGCAGGGTTTAGCCCCAAAAGGCAATTCCTGCAGCAGGAAGAGGCATTTCTTTTGTGCTGAGCCTCTAAAGAATATCTGCTGGGCCCTGGCAAGACTCTCTGCTCCCTCACTGTGCTGCACCACAGGTCACAAGTTCAAAATTAAAAGCTACTCAGGCCCATTCCCTGGAAACCTGCAGCTCCTTAATTAAGGGGAATAAGTTAGAAAACTTCCAGTGACTACCAGATTTATAGGGAGGATAAAATTAAACATGGCTACTAAAATCTGCTGTAACAAAACCTTGTTAGTGCTAATGTTCATTTATAGTTTGACTTCCCAGTGTTTAATTCCTTCTCTGGAGCAGTAAAGGGATAACAATTAAATACCCTGAAAGATGGCTTTATGACTTGCTCCGCTGTAAATCAAACTTTTAAAGTTCGTAAAAATTGCTAAAATAAAAAATGGTTTAATAGGAATGTTTTATGGCCCATAACGTTATTACAGCCCTTTTATTCCCTCTGCATTGTTACTTTAATTGGATCACAACAATTCTTGAGATTCTCATTTTTATTGGGTAAGGCGTGATCTTAAATCAGAACGACCAAAAGCATCTTCACCACATCCTTTGATTTATCCCTCATTTCCTTCAAGCTCCGGCCGTAGCCGGACCCAGCACGGGGCTCAGCCAGGCTGGGAGTGTGTCCTGGGCTGCCCTTCCCAGGATTTGCTGGATCAGCAGCCTGGGATCCCCTGACCTGGTGCTGTCTTGCCTCCCCAGGTGTCAGACCGCTCCGTGGTGGCTCTGGTTCCCAAGCAAACCTCCTCCTACAACATCCCTGCCTCTGCCAGCATCTCCCGCACCTCCATCAGCAGATATGGTAAGAACTGGGATGGGCAGGGACGGCTCATGGGCTGACACTGGCATGTCAGTGGGGAAAAAGCATCAGCTCCACCCAAAAAACCACCCAAAACAAATGTAAATCCAAACAGAAAGACATCCTTGGCTGCTGGTTTGGATTGCAAAGGCTTTTCCAGCTGTGAGAACAGCAAAAGGACCAGGAAAGGTGAGAAGGGGGAAAGGGAAATGCCAAGAACAGGAGAGCTAAGAGCAGCCTTTGGGAATGTGGGGCCTGGGACAATTCCAAGGGCTCAGAGGGGATGGGTGGTGCAGGAGAGGATCTTTGAGCCCCTGAGCAGGGCAGCACCACAGATAAACCTGATTTATCTGATCCTCCCCTGTTCCTCCCCGAGGGCAGGATCCTGAGCTCTGAGCTAATGGGTCACAAATGGGGAAGGGCAATCTTAGCACAGAGTGCAGGGATGTGCACACCTGGGAATTCCGGATTTGCATAATAGAAGGGCTCAGCACATTCCAGAGGGTCCCTGAAGATGCTGCAGCCTGAGAAAATGAGCCTGCGAGGTGCCAGGTGCATGCTTGGAGCACTAAATCCACAATAATTGTAATAATAGACTTCCATAAAAGGCAGCAGTGGCAAAATCTCTCGAGTGCTGATCTTTCATTATCGTTCATTTCACAGAGTGTTTTACCAGCAAAAAGTCTCCCGACAAACCCATCTCCTCCTCTTGTTTATAGCTCCCAAAATAATGTTGGTTTTTAGCTCGAGCAAGTGTTCTGAGGAGCCAAAACCAGGGGAGTCTTGAGGTAAAAACCAGGAGAAAAGGCATTTCTCCCTGCCAGTGTAGGTCCACACGTGTCCAACACATCCCATAGTCCAGCTGATGGAAAAAGCAGGGCTGGGTCTCGCAGCCTGAGCCCTCAGTGCTCATTGATCTCTGTCAGCTGCAAAAGCTTTTGCAAAGCACAAATACGAGCCATCATTGCTCATGTTGAGATTAATATTTCTAATTGTGCCGGCAGAATTTAAATTAGATACTTATTTACTTCCCCTGTTATATATCAGTGCAGAGATATGTTTAAAAATAGAATTACTGCATGCTTCCTGAGCTGTCCCCCTGTCTGTCTCCTTAATTATATCAGTTGGAGCACTCATTTATCTAAGCCTTAATCAGGGATGAAAATCCAGCTACTTTGGTAATGACTTGAGTATTTCCCTCAGCTGATTTACGATCGATCCCCACACTCCTGACGAGGAGGGTGAGCAGTGAACTGAAGGCTAAACTTGAGAAAATGCATGAGATTCCCAGAGAACAAAGAAATGTAGCAGGAGGGAAATCCAGCAAGGCACTTCTGGGCTCCTCAGCCTCGTGTCTCGTCCTGGACACGCTGGGGATGCAGGGAGGGACATTCTTTGGGAAGTGAAATATCTAAATTCCTGTGCCACATCCCCCCATGGTTTCTGAGCAGTTCAGGGCAGTGTCTGGTGCCCTTTGAGCTCCCTTTTCCCTGCAGGGACAGCAGGGACAGCATGAGGCTGGCTCTGCTCAGCCCAGGGATGGCGCAGGGTGCAGGACTGGCCTCAGGCTCTGCTGCTGATGCTCAGCTTGAGTCCTCACTGCTCCCCTGAAAACCTCAAGGACGAGCTCAGCAGCTTCTCCTGCCCTTTGTGCTGAGCAGCTCCTCATTATTTACAAAATCCTGAAACCAGGGCTCTGCTCCTGCGGGAGCCGGTGCCCGGGGTCGTGTGTGTGAGCCGTGAGTCAGGGAGGATTTCTGTGTCCTCTGTACGAGGAGTTCTCATCAGGAAAGGATTCAAATGGGGCAGGAAAGGCCATATAGGGGAGGGAAAAAAGCTGAATTTTGAGGTTTTTTTGTTGGAGACCAACACGGATTTTGGGCAAACGCCAAACTCTGACGGCGCAGAACGAGAACGCGCGCGAAACAGAACCGTGGTGGTTTTCCATTTCATTTCCCCACCAAAAAACAAACCCCAAAAACCCCAGTGCCAACAATTTGGGTGTGTCCAGCCGTGGTGAGGGTGCTGAGGGAGGTGCAGAAGGGGTGAGCAGCCTGTCTCCCTGCCCAGACTCCACGTTCCGCTACACGGGCAGCCCCGACAGCCTCCGCTCGCGCGCGCCCATGATCACCCCCGACCTGGAGAGCGGCGTCAAGGTCTGGCACCTGGTCAAGAACCACGACCACGGCGACCAGAAGGAAGGGGACAGGGGCAGCAAGATGGTCTCTGAGATCTACCTGACCAGGCTCCTGGCGACAAAGGTAACTGAGCTGAATTCTCCTGGGGAAGCTCAGCGAGGGGTCCTGGTGCTGCTCAGATCCCAACCTGGCTGGGTTTTCCTGGCATTTGGAGAGTCCAGCCCAGATTTCCTCACACTCAAGGCAATGGCTGCAATTCTCCTTTTTTTTTTTTTTTTCTTAAAAACTGTTAAAACTGTTCACAAATTGGTGAATGAAGTAGTGCCTGGAAATATTTACCCATTCCCTCGACCAGGCACGGTTTTCCTGCCTTTCCCCACATGCTTATCAGCGTGGATAACATAGCTGTGCTTTGGAAAGCAAAAAAAAAATAATTATCTCAGGTTAGAAATAAAGAGTAAATGAGTGAGTAGCTGCAGGCTGGAGCTTTTCAAAAGACCCTGACCTCAGTTATTCCCGTGGGATCTGTGGTGGCACTTTTTGGGTCTGGTAACATCTGGTGTCCCTTCCTGCCACCACTGCTTGGGCAGGGGAGTGCCTGTCCCTCCCCTCGCCCCCTGGATTGCTGCTCCTGTCACCAAAACTGCAGGGAAAACAGAAACTCTCCAACAGCATCTTTTCAATATTAGAGAATTAGGTATTACTTTATTCTGGCCAGGATGTGCAATAGAAATTATTTCATCCACACGTGGCTAGGTTGTGCAGTGAAAATCATTCCATCACACATGGGTTTTTACCCCATTTTTCACATATTTATACATGAAACCTCCAATGAAATTCACATTTGCTGCTTCTAAATTGCCCAATTCTTAGTATTCGATTTCCTATTGGTTATTGATCCTTTCAGTGCTAACTTGGTCCCCATGCTTTGGTTCTGTTATCAATCATTTCCCAGACCAGGTGTCTCTGTTCACACCAGGGGTGATGTTTGTCAATATTCATTTATCCCCTTTGTATCTTCTGGCTCTGGGAATCTCCTTTTTGTTGACTGAAGCCCAGAAATCCTCAAACCCTCATTGTAACTGAGCCTTTTAAGAGAAATTCAGTTCAATTCGATTCCATTCAGTTTCCCCCACCCTGAGCAGAGGCGAAAACAAGCCCCTGCCTAAAAACAATAAAAGAAGCGGTTGGAAGCTGTCTGATTTGCCGTCCTGCCGTCAGGGCACGCTGCAGAAGTTCGTGGACGACCTGTTTGAGACGCTGTTCAGCACGGTGCACCGCGGCAGCGCCCTGCCCCTCGCCATCAAGTACATGTTCGACTTCCTGGACGAGCAGGCCGACAAGCACGGCATCCACGACACCGACGTCCGGCACACCTGGAAGAGCAACTGGTAACAGAAAGCTGGATGATTTTTTTATTATATCTGTACTATAATACATCAATATACTATTTTTAATATACTGGAACTACAAACCTACTTTTCTAAGTACCATATCTAACTAACAATCTAAGTTGTTAGTTGTTAGTACCAGATCTAACTAACAACTCTAAGTACCATAACTAACTAACCCACTCTGAGAGCCCAGCCCCAAGTGGGTTGGATTGGCCACCAGGCTCCAACAATCCTCACCAGAATCCAACCAAGCCATCACCCCAGGTAAACAATTCTCCAAGCACATTCGACTAAGAAAACAAGGAGCAGAAATAGAAATTGTTTTCTCTTTCTTTCCTCTGTGCTCCTCTGTGAAAAATTCTGAGAGAGAAGAATGGGCCTGCCACAGAGGGCAGGGAGGCAGGCTGGGTGTTCCGTGATTCTGGGCAAAAAAAAGGTGTGGGGAATTGTTTTGGGAAGGGCTGCCAAGCCCCAAAGTGGGGCACAAAGCTGGGCTTTGAGCCTCTGTGGGCTGCCAGTGTTCACAGGATCCTAAAATCCTGGTTTGGAAGGGAAGGGAGGTAGCCTGGCTACTCCTTACTCCTGGCTGCTGCCCTCGGGCTGCAGATCTGCCCGAATGGACCTTGGGAAGAGTGGGAAGCAAGGCTCCAGTGGCTGCACGGCCCTGCTGTGCCACAAGTGCACCTTTCCCATCACTTCGGGAAGCACCTGGAGCATTTGGGCACCAGCAGGAGGTGGCACAGGGAGAAGGAGCCGGCTCTGCATGCCTCAGGCATGGGCTGCAGCCAGGACCAGCCTCTCCAAACAGTGGGAGCTCTCACATCTCTGCCTCTGCTGCTATTTTAGGATTAAAACCTCTGTGGGTTGGAAATTTACCTCTGTGAGAAAGGAATAAAAAAGCACAACGAATGGTTTTTCCCTGAAGACCTTGTATTTTCCCCTGAGTCCCTCGTGGTTTAAAAGGCCTCTAATCATCATGGCTGCAAAAGCTGGTTCCCTGCTAAGGCAGTGGGAAGCTCAAAACAATTCATTTAAAGCCTTAGAAGATGGAGTTATTGGGATAAAAACTGTAGAATCACAAGAAATTATGAGAAAAAAAGAAAGCAATGACCACCAGAGTTTGGTCTGCCGGAGGCAACAGGCCCCACCAGGCCTGGACCTTCCTTCTCCCCATCTCAGCTGAGCTCTGCAGCATTTCCAGAAAGGGAATTTTGGTGGGGATGTGGGAGAAGGCTGCCCCTGGAGCAGGCAGAAGCAAAGGGAAGCTTGGAAGAGGGAGCTGGGGTGGCTGGGGCTGAGCTGCTCTCCTGCAGCACTGCAAGAGTTAAGGCTGCAGCCTTTCAGCGAGCTGGAGAGACAGAGAGAGCTGCGACTTGAAAGGTAATAGAAAGCAGCAGCTGCTTTTTTGATCCTGCTATACAGCCGAAGAAAAAAAGGAATAATAATTCCCCTTTGATTGCAAAGGCCCCAGGATTTGGGGACAAAGCCTGTGGTTCCTGCTGCCAGCTCGTGGGTGCTGAGCACTGCTCAGTGCCAGGGCTCACCCCACACTGCAGCCCTGCCCTGCTGAGCTCCTCCTAACGGGCTCCTCCTGCAGATGCTCCCCCAGTTCCCCCAGACTGCCCAGCTCTGCCCTGCTCATCTCCACTGCTCCGTGTGGGATCCGAGCCCAGAGCAGCTCCCGGGCATGGCAGGATGCACCAGCAGCCATCTGGGCTAACTGGTGCTTGGTGGCCTTGGCCCAGCTCCTGTTTAAATTCTTCTCTTGCTCTTCCCACCATTGGTGCTCTGCCTGGGAGCACCATCCACAGCAAGCGCCCTTGCCTTGCCTTTGTCTTCTCATTTCCTCTCAATTCTGGCTTTGCCTCCCAGCCTTCCCCTCCGCTTCTGGGTGAACGTGATCAAAAACCCGCAGTTCGTGTTCGACATCCACAAGGGCAGCATCACGGACGCCTGCCTCTCCGTGGTGGCTCAGACCTTCATGGATTCCTGCTCCACCTCGGAGCACCGCCTGGGCAAGGACTCCCCCTCCAACAAGCTGCTGTACGCCAAGGACATCCCCAGCTACAAGAGCTGGGTGGAGAGGTGAGG